ATGATATTAAAAACTCCTACTGATGGACTGTATTATGCAAACAAATTTTTCCAGACTATACATTTTCGTATAAAACCTTCATGGGATGATTTTCTAGTCTCAGCATCCGAGAAAACAAACTTTACCCGAAATCTTAGCTAACATAAAGATTACAAAATTATGTTTAAAAATTCTTCCAATAACCACATAGAAGATTCTGCTCATGTGGTGAAACATTACAAATCCTGCAGTTTTTTTTATACAAATATGTAATAGAATCTTACGTTTCCACGTTGGGAGTTCTTATGGGCACTAACGGTATATAAAACATATCACTGCCAGGAGGCTTCCTATATAGTTGCAGTCCTCTAAAGTTAATGTTGTATTACTATTATTATTTTGAAAGCTATGTACTATATCAAATTGTTGAGAGAGTGACATTTGGATGATTCATATGTTAATGAGTTCTATATATTTTTTTTATATTTAGAATAGATCGTCATAATGTTCGACAAAGCTATGAAGCTGTTTATTTGAAGCAACTTTGCTGAAGAAACTACACAGCTAAAAAAAAGTAGTGTAAATTTCCGTTACTATGATGCACATAAATGGAGCGTCATATATCATAGAAGTTTAGATTATAGATCGTGTAAATTTATGAGACATGTCATGCAATATTCCATATATTGTATGCAACTGTCCACTTTTGTTTGCAACATTTCTTGCAAGCTGCTAGTTTACGTGAAAAGTAAGTTTACATGTATGAATGTTTACATGCATGAATGTTTACATCGCCAGTAACATTAAGAATTTTTTGGTGTGTATCCCACATGGTTCAAGTTTTATATCAAGTTTTAATAAGTAAATAAGGGTGGTCTCTAAAAATAAGTTTTATTGTGTTAACCTTAACTGGACTTATTTCTCGTAAATGATATATTCTTGACCCTTTCAGAACTTTTGATTACGCATTTTTTGCTGAAGTGACCAATTTTCAAAATATCTAATATAAATAACATGTCCATCCAACATCAGAAAATGTATAAAAAAGAATCCGAGATACAACATGTTGAAAAAAAAAATGATTTCATTTTCAGTGTAGTGGCCGAAGAGTAAATCAAACCTAACGTGCCAGATCCCTAGGGATCTGCTGATCGAATGAACCAGGAAAATGGTTCTTCGTTCTTCAAGTGTCTGTGACCTCAGAATTTCGAGTCCTTTGAGGATTATTGAGGATCATCCTCATGATCTTGTTCTGGATCCTTTGAAGTTTGAAGCGATGGAATTTAGCACAACGCTCCCATATTGGCATACCGTACTCTATTACACGAATTATAATATCGGAAATTTAAGCAACGGTAGCGTAGCGTGCTGCCTTGTTGGTTCATTCGCGAAGGCGAACACGTTTTGGCTGAATGAGACTGAACATAAAGTTTTCTTAATAATCACAAAACGAAACGGATTAGTAAATCAATCAAAAATATACATACATACGATTAGATAAAAATGATTACATGTTCCATGAACACTGAACAGTTTGAACATGCAAACGAGACGCTTCGATGTTGAAGGCTTCTCATGTGACCTGTAACGTTCTATTCTGGGTGATCTTTACGAGGAAAATCGATTGATAGTATCTTTACAACTTGTACCTGTCAATGTATGTGTCAATAAGTGTAATAATCAAACTATATCAACGACAATGATAAGAATGTGATTGCTCGTAGAAAAATAATCTCCTCTAGATGTTGCACACAAATCGTCATATTTTTTAGAAATAATGATTATCATTTCTCGTATATTCTCATTGATCTAGTGGCAATTGTAAATTCCATAGGCCATAATTGCAACGCACCACAGTAGGAACGTTTAGCCAAGACCAGTCGTATCACCAGTACTGGTGATTAACATTATTTGTTCCTTAACATTTCATACTTTTCGCAATGACCATAGTGAAGACACACAAAAACAAACTGGCACGCGGCAAAAATGTCGTGACATTTCTGAACTGTTTTCTGCCAGCTACAAAACATTTTTGCACAAAGAAGCAGACAAGACCAGCGGCCTACACTACATTAATTCTAGATAGAGCTGGAATTAGGGCGTAACAGCTTTTGTAAACAATGACTTTTTTCGATGATTTCTAGAACTCGCCAACGCAAATCAACAATACCATCTTGTAGAGGAAGACTTTCCCTACCTGACGGTTGTGTTGGTTTGCGTGGATGTGCCTTGAGTTCCTAGAAATCATCGATAGAAGCCATTGTTTACAAAGGCTATTACGCCCTAATTCCAGCTCTATCTAGAATTTATGTTATGTAGAATTTTGCAAATTTCTGATTAATTACTGTATTTGTTTGATGGTTAATGCATGGAATTAAAATATAACAAGAAATACTAACCACTCATAGGCATAGATGTTAAAATTATGCGTCAATAAGGGAGGTGATAATTTGATGTCACACGCAAGCTTGCAGCTTAAATTTAGTTGCAACTGTTATTACTATCCCGTTTCATATTATTATTTTTCTGCTTCTACTTATATTAGATTTCTTTGTTAGTATTTATTATTTTCATTTCTTCTTTTTTGCATAAACTATAATTTATCATTAATCGATAACATGAACCTAGGATTTTTGAGTTAGATCAATTTTTTTAACATCTGTATGCACCACTGGAATTTCCACATAAAAAAAAAACTTATCCTCCACTACACCGTCAATCAAGTACCGCCCGTTGACGAGTGCCCCGATTGTCCCCCTTTAGGGGTGCAGGCACACATGTCATGATATGTGTACGTTACGCAGCGGTATTAACTCATGTTCAGTTCAACCGGGTTGCAGCGACCGACAGTTGGGTATTGCAACATTATCGATTCACAGGCTGCAAGAGAAGAAGTATTCCCATTTTTATGCTACGGCCAGCCGGTTTCCATTCCTGACTTGACCGTATATAGCCAGCGCAGCAGTTCAGGCTCCGCAGCGGCAAAGTGCGTCTTTTTCGTCGATGTTTGTTGTCTGTGTTCAGTTTTATGCCTCTTTTTTCTTGACTTGCATCAAAGCGGCAAGCCACAATTAAATAGTTATGTGTAGATTACGGTTCCTTTCGAAAACCTGTTCTTCCCTAAGATGGTGTTTCAGTAATGATGCCTTTGAACCACTTGCAGGTTTCGACTAATTTTTCATGTTTGTTTTTTTATTTTGCTTTTGCGTTATTTGATCGTTTCTTGAATACCAATTAACAAATGTCGTCTGAATAAAAAAAATCATCTTAATCTGCAAATTGACAACTGTCACTACATTCTCCCAAATTCAATACACGTGTGATTGCATGGCTCAATAAAACAAATTTTGGCGTTCCCTTGAGAAAGAAACGCAAATCGTATTCTATTCCTCGCATTCATATTCCGTATCTTCGAGCGTTTTCTCTCTATAAATATCACCTTCAGGAGAGAGAAAATAATGCTACGGGATAAATCATGTGTCACTGACGCGTTACTTTCTCATGAGACACGTATATGCCGGAATGTGTCCCGTTTCGGTGCGCTTCGCCGTCACCGATTCTGTTTTTACTGGACACTAGCGTCTCAAGGGTGATACTGGCATAGGGAGTATACAATTTCTAGAAAATGCTTGTTCGGATTTAGAATGTATTTTAAAAGTACCTCCAATAGTCACGCTTGGAGTTGAAATGCCTATAAATCACACAATTTTCAATTCAAAACTGTTTTAATACTTCAAAACACTAAGTTGAAGGTAATCATAAGAACGATCGTTCAGCCCTGTGCACACCCCTGCTATCGTGCACGTTTCTCACGATCATATCATGGAATCAAGCGATGAACTATCGCACTACAAAAATAGGCTAACAACCTACGGAATGAATTCTCATTCCAACGCTGTGACTGTGCTCCGTTTAATGATCCCACAATTAGTGTTATTGCATTCCCAAAAATAGCAACAGATATTTAGAAATGTTCTAAATTAAGCAGATTAAAACTGGATGCAGTAGTTCTTAAGTTCCTTGATTCCTAGCGTAACACAAGAAAAGGGCCTATCATTGGTGAAAGATTCTCTTCATCGATTTTGAATTTCCCATTGAGTGTGTTGTTTCAGACGCAAGCTAACATCATCTTCTGTCGGACTGAATCAACAAGGATAGGTCCTTTTCAAATGTTATGCGAAATTTCCTTTCCACGTTTCTTCTTGGAAGAACCCTAGGAAAATATTCTACACCAGATAACTTCAAGCAATCATATCGCTTATATTATTTGTTTACGCTAAAGAAACTCTCAAAGGAAAAATATCGATGGCTTCCTGGGAAAACCAACTTATCGGAAGGGTCGCCAAAGAAAACCAACTTTGTTGATTAGTAGGTGTCATGTTGCGTCACGGCAGCATCAAAAGTGACAAAAAATGTAATCTTACACGTTTCATTCACTTCCCTCCGTTTGGCAACTTGACTAGTCACCATCACTATCAGATGCACTTGCACTCACGTTTCCTTCATCACCCTGCTTCGAACCGTAAACGTATCAATTTTCAAGTGGTTCAAAGTGTCAGCCATGACAAATAGTTACCGATGTGTACACTAGCGACTAGCTGATAACAGTTTGTGAGTATAAATGAAATCGATTTAAAGTTGGCAGGCGATAGAAAAACTATGCCCAAAGCAAATGCACGTGTAAACATTTAAGGCGTCTATCAAAGATGTTACTTCGCCAGACTGCGGTAAAAGGAGACAAATGCCATGCCTCTATGTAGAAAGCGCAAACTCACACGCTAGCCAAAACACATGGGAAAATTAATCTAAAAAGACTGGACAGCACGTTACAGCATTCAGTTAGCAGTAGAAGACACAAGAAACTGTAAACGCTGCTCTGACAAATAGTTCTATCAATGTTAAGTTGGTTCTACTTGTCGTTTAAAAGGAAATATAACGATGTTAACTGTAAATCTTAGTAATACAAGAAATGTATCTCAGCTGATGTCTAATTGCTTTCCTCCTGTCATTTTTCTTTTCAGCCGAAAGCGATCTGGTAACATTCGCTCAAATAAAAAACCACTACAGTACAAAGCACGGAATTGATACCTGCCTATTCACTGCCGAAACTCGCTCGGAAACGCTGCAGGAATTGTACGATGCGGCGGCTAAAACACCGGTGTCGGCTATTGCCGAAATGGACCGTATCGCCGGTTACAGCGAATCCGAACGTCGCAGCTCGGATGCATTCCTCTGTACACCGGTGCTGGGTCAGACGCGACGGAAACTCCGAGCCAAGGTCGACATGGAAATCGAAACGAGATTGGTAAGTGAACTCAAGACTTTAACAAATGTTTCTAATTGTTTTTCATAACAAAGGTGAACTAATTACGATTATACGTTCCTACTATGGTACAATAGATTCACATATGCCATCAAAAGAACACACCCTATTTAATGGGACATCCTGTGAAAATAGGTGGTCCAGTTTTAACACTACAGTATTATTTTATTTTTAAGTTTCCAAAAACCTTGCCATAAACAGTATAATATTATATTGCGAAACATTATATTTTGCTTAATTTAACTGTGCTAAAGAAAAAAATGCTTGTAGAAGAATACAAATAATGTATATTAACCAAGCAGTGCAAATTTATCTTTCTTATATATAAAATAAATGTTTATTTATACAATACTAGCTGAGTGTGCCCGGTCTTGCTCGGGATTCAATATTAGCTTGAGTTTATGCGCCGATTTAAAAAAAAGCATGCTATATTGTACGTAGCCCCCCCTCCCTATTATCTAAGGGGCTACCCCCTATGATTATCTCCTTATACCCCCACACTCGCCCCCACATGCCTAATTTGGTTCCATTTGCTTGATTAGTTCTCGAGTTATGCAGAAATTTCTGTTTCATTTGTATGGGAGCCCCCCCTTACAGAAGGGGGAGGGGTCTCGAACCATCATAAGAACCTTCCACGGCCCCAAAAACCCCTGTATACAAATTTTCACGCCAATCGGTTCAGTAGTTTCCGAGTCTATAAGGGTCAGACAGACAGACAGAAATTCATTTTTATATATATAGATTGTTTTAGTAGAACAACGGTTCTCAACCTAGGGTACACATTCCCCTGGTGTACAACAGATAGCGAAAAAATTAAAATTTATGTCAGAAGTTATCAGATATTTCCCTGTTTTCAATGGAATTTTGTTATCATGTGTTGCTGATAAGTTCTTTAAATAATGGTTAATTAGCTCTCAAAACGATTTTTGTAGCTTCAATTTATGTAAATCTCTATTTTTAAAATCTTTGATAGCTACTTGACCACTTCAGAGTTATGAACCGTGCCGGACATACAGTGTATCTCAAAATTGAGCGTCCAGCTGTCCGTATATTTCCGGAAAATAGCTGTACGAGCACAACTTTAAAAGATAGACTTCTAAATTTTTGGCTATCGATATTGGTTATCGGTATAGTATTGGGATGAGTGTGTAAGAATTTAGAGCTATTTTAGAAAAACTAGATTTCCTAAAAAAACACATTTTCTTGAAATACAATGAGCCAAACATATTTAAATTTTGCTAATCTATAGTCATAATAAAGATCTTTAAAATGCCGCTAATATTATTAAAATCTGCCTAATATGAAAAAAGTAGAAAATCGACCGTTTTACTGAAATCCTTCAAACTTCAAACAAAATCTGCCGGTAAAGTCCAAAGCTATGCTGATAAACCAATAAATAGTTGTTCAAACACTAGCCACGATTTCAAAAATCTATCTACTGACAGTCTTTCAAAAAACTGCCTATTCAGATGTACGCTTAATTTTGAGATACACTGTAAGTAGTTTTTTCTTCCTTGATTTGTTTTTCGTTTATCTTGATTTCCGTGCTGAGTACCAATGCTACCGACGCCAGGAAGGCAGCTTCCACACCTGGACCCTACCTATCGACCCATCAACTCATAGACCGGGGACCAACGGCTTTCCTTCCCTTCAGATCAGAAATTTTATCCCTCAGAACTGGGATTGAACCCAGGCCCTTTAGGGTGAGGTCAGTCATGCTTGCCACTGCACCACCGGTGCCGCTTTGACATAAGTAGTTGTCCACATAATTTGTGTCTTTGTACTATAAAACAATGCTTGAAAACAACGCTATACTTAAATTACTGAAACTTCATGCAGACTTGTCTATTAACCAAGCTCATAACTAAACCGATCAATTCTGAATATTTTATTAATCATAAAACATGATTTCAGAAACATCCTGATAAGTTAAATTTCTCTGAATTTTTAGGGAGAAATGAAACCAAAAATAAATATACGCTTAAGGTTCACTTTACTTTGATGCTTTTTGGAAAATTTCAAAAGCAGTTTTTTTCCGACGCATTATATTTCAGATTGCAAAAAGCTCGCACTATTCGATTCCTTTTGATATTTTACACAAAATGACGCGAGCTTTTTGCAATCTAAAATAATGCGTCGAAAAAACTGCTTTTGAATTTTTAAAAAATGCATCAAAGTAAATTGAACCTTAATGGCAGAAACGTTGAGTAATACGAATAAACCAAAAACAGTGGTTGTTAATTTACACCAACCAAAAACTATATTAGACTATTGAACTATACAATGACGTTTCAAAAGCATAAATATTCTTCGTCATGTATGAAGTACTTGTGTAATACAGGAATTTGTCCTCATAACGTAACTGACCTTGATCACTTCTAGATCTTTGATGCTGATCTTTCTACACGTTTTTCAATCATCTCGGTCTTTGATCTTTGAAAATCAGTGGGTACATTTTTTGATGATTCATTGCTAAGGTAAGTCTCTCTAAAAAAGTTAAGCACCACTATTGTAGAAGATAATTTTCTTTTCCAGTTAGGTAAAATCTTGTAAAAACTTTAAGTCGATGAAAAAATAAAAAAAGGAGAAAGTCGGTAAAGACGGACACCGCAGGAAAGATGGATGCTGCTTTAATTAAAGTAGAGGTTGTATACAAGACACGACCATAGATTCGACGTAGGATTACGTGCTAGATATCAATATTGGGCGACTGTGTTAGGGAAACCATTTTTTCCCATCACGGAAACGCCTCGTTTTCTTATGACAAAATTACGCATTATCGTGCACAAAACGTACGGAGTTTTTGGTTTATTCATTAGAAAGCAAAAATTTAATGTAGGAATTTCTTGCTAAAATTTGTCAATCGCAGGATATTTGCGATCAATCATAAAGATTCGCGATTTTTTTTTTTTTTGCTTTTTTTAGCGTCCTGGAGAAAACCCTACCTTAATTCCAAGTGTTCATTTACAAGGTCATTGCGAGAATTTGTTGAGTTGAGTAATGCTGAGATATTAAGGTGTTCAACATAGAGATGAGGCTGGTGAACTGAATGTTGTTTTGAACGAGGGTGACGCGCTTGGTATAGATGGCCCACAGCGACTCATGAAGAGGTACTAATTCCGATCAGTAGCGGGTACGGCTTCTTTCTTCTTCGGTGAATGGACGCTCATGTGGGCTGTAGCTCGCTGCTTGCGGGCAGCCTTTCGTTGTGTACTGGAGAACAATGCGCCAAAAGCACTGCTGCTGCTGCTGCTGATGATGATGATGATGATGATGATGACGACTGACCAGACCACACAGGGTGATTGAATAAACACCGTTCAGTGAGACCAGATGGAATTTGATTTTGAAATCTGTGTTAGGGAAAGCGCTTTTGCAGGCAATCGATGATAATTTTGATGACTATTGCAACAGTTGGACATTAGTGTAATTTTCAATAGTGAACTATTGAAAATGAATAAAGTGTTCAGTTTAACAAATTTGTAGCAAAATTTCCAATTGGCTAGTTTAGAATCATAATCCACCCGTTATTTACAGAGTTATATGTGGTAAAAACCTGACCACTTTTCGTAATGCGGTCGATTTTTGTTTATTCTTCTAGCGTGATGTACCTAAAATAATGATTAAGTTGACCCAAAATTGAATGATTTATTTTCAATTATTCTGGTCACAAAAATTTATCCAGATCCAGTGCAGATATCCATTTCATGGATTAAATTTTTAACCCACGAAAGAGCTACTACAACCACACACATTTATCACAATAAGTTGCTGCAACTTGAATGTGACTGGAATGAGTTACATACAGGTAACCATAACTTTACATCCAAGTAACCACCAAGCCTGCTAATAGTTCGATAAGGCCCCTTTTTGCAATATACGGGTATAAATGTTTATATCAGCCTTACATCATCATTATATTTCACATTTTCCATTAGTGGGCTTGATGGTTACTTGGGCAGTGTGCTGCTAGGGAAAATTGTTTCTGATTTGTGGGTAAAAATTGATGGGTTAAAAATTGTATCAATTATTTTCACATGGATTTTCAACCCATGAATGGATAACTCAATTTTAGCGTCGTTACAGCTGAAACACACGAAATCCCATTAGCGAAAATCGATTTTACTCTCTTTCTATACACGGAGAACCAAAACTACCAAACGGTAGAGTTCTTTAAACTTACTTTTGAGTTGATGCCTCTCACTTGCTCTCTTGTTCTTGTCAAAAACAAAAAGGGCAAACCAACCCAAAATTGAGTTCTATTCACCCAACTAGACAGCCGTGCGCCAAGGTAAAATTCTGTAAGTTGTGTAAAACTCAATTTTGAGTAGTTTGAACTTGACGTTTAGTGAAAACAACTTAAAAATAAGTAATCCTGTTTACATGCGAGTGAATGACAACAACTCAATATTGAGTAGGCGCTAGAACTCTAAATTGGGTTGACGCACGGAACTGCCAACCTGGGTGGAAAGAACTCAAAATTACGTACTTTTTTCTTTCCGTGTACTTATACATAGTGACGGAAGAAGTGTTCTGTAATCGGACTATGATGTGCTATAATACGCATTTATTGCCGCCACTATGTATAACGTGTAGAACGAGAATTAATCTGATTTTCGCTAGTGAGTTCTTCCAGCTTTCAACTCTAATGACTATATTTTATTGCAACGCTTTGTGCTGCCACGGCACCATACCTACTCTGGGCGATTCCGAACTAACCGATGCACAATAGTGGCCATATTTAGGAAGACAAAAATGGATAAACCACGTAAAGGTAAATGGTTATTTCGGAAAAGTTTTAAAATATTGTGTATGCTACCTTTTAATGTAAGTGATTAATGTAAGGGGTTATTGAGTTCAAAATATCAACTTCTAAGTTATTTGAGGAATCACGTGAATCAGAGTTTTATCGTTCAATTACTTCAAATAACCGTAATTCCACATTTTTCTCATTCACCTTCAATGGAAACACTAAAAAATGG